GCAAAGCACAAGAGTGAGGTAATGCGTTAACTGACATGGGCGCCCCACACCTTCCTCAAAAGGCTGTGCTCCTCACACTGAGACCATCCTCTCCCTGCTCCTGATCCTTTTCAGTTAATTATTTGTAATTTATAAAAACTGCAAGAAACTCTAACACAAACTACACATTAGCTAATGCTGCAGGAGGAGTCAAGTTAAGAGGTAAGAGGAGGATATACAGCAGGGCCCTATTTTCAAATAGAGATAAAGAAATAGCAAATGTCAATAGAGTCACCTCTCCAGGTGGAGGCCCAGACAAGCACTCCATACTACTCTTCCAGCCCTTCTCCATGCACTTGTCAACGTCAGCCCCACTGACGTTGCAGACAGGACAGTCCCTTATTCTGAGGACTGTTACATTCCCTGGAAGATCTTCAGCTCAAGTTGTGACCAAAATTAATTATTAAATAATTTCAGAGGTTACCAAATGTCTTCAGGTTGAAAATTCATATTCCAACATTAACTCCACCTAACTAGATCCCAGAAAGAGAACAAAGAACATGAGCAAATGAAAGAGCTGAAAAGATGGAGGCTGAGGACATTCCAGAACAGACCAGAGACATAAAGATCAGCTATAATGATAAACATTTCTAAAAATGTTTAAGAAGCACAATTCACCCAGCCTGGTCTACAGAGCGAGCGAGTTCCAGAACAGCCAGGGCTACACACAGAGAAATCCTGTCTGGAAAAACCAAAAAATAAATAAAAAAAAATAAAAAGAAGCACAATTCACGTCAAGATGGAGAAACAAAAATCTACCTTGTGATGTGCATAATGAAGCAATAAAGCCAAAGCCCCTCCAAAGCACCCAGAAGGCAAACCAGAAACCCTCATGTCAGACTGCTAAACAGAACGCCTAGAGACACAACACTGAAGAGAACAGCTGAGCACCGTGCCCAGCATGAGCATCTCTCAACTCAAGGCCAAGGCCAGGCCTGGCAGTTCATGCCTGTAATCCAGCACTCGGAGGACGACAGGAGAAGTGCCAGCCACAACCGCAGAGACATGCACTTGAACTTCAAGTTTGAGGCCAGCGGGGAGTCTTCTCCACTAACAAACCTACAGAAGGGACTTCCAGCCAGTGTACCTTAGGAAAACAACTGGACGGAGAGGGAAGGGGCATGCCATAAGACAATGTGGTGAGCAGATGGCACACGCCGTGAACCAGCTGATGCTGCCTGTGTAGAGGCTGGTGAGCTCACACTGTGGCGGTTTCCACCTGTTTACCAACACAGCTTCCTCTCCAGTGTAACATCCATCTAGGACACACTCCCGAAGGGTGTAGGGGGGCATGCCTTTAATCCCAGCACTCACAAATCAGGAGGTAGACCTCTGTGTTCAGGGCCAGCCTGGTCTATACACTGAGCTCTAGGACAGCCAGGGCTACGCAGTGAGACCCAGTCTCAAAACAAACACACCATCTATTCAACAGTTATGACTTCAAAGTAAAAATTAGTTATTCCCTCACTACTGACTTAAGAACTGGCGGGTGAGGTGCGGAAAGGTGTGTGACGTTGCGGAATATTTGTTTACACTGTATAAAGATGTGTCACTGTAAGTGGTTTAATGAAGAGCTGAATGGCCAATAGCTAGGCAGGAGAGCGAGGAGGGATTTCCCGGGAAAGAGAGGAAGAGGAATCTAGGCACTCGACTTATGAGGAGACACTAGAACATGGAAAGGAAAAAGGAGGTGCAAGATGGAAGAGAGGTTACACCACGTGATAGAACATAGAAACGGGTTGATTTAAGCTGTAAGAGCTAGTTAGGACAAGCCTAAGCTAAAGGCCAAACTTTCATAATTAACAATAAGTCTCTGTGTTGTTATTTGTGAGCTGGTAGCCAACAACAACAACAACAACAACAAACCTGACTACAGAAGGAAGAGGCTGTTTTAACACCCACAAGCCCAGGTGCCTCCTCTTTGTGGCTGCTGTGAAAAAAGGCTGAGGTTCAGACTAGGAACTCTGGTAACTTCCAAGTATCTTACCAGTCAGGCTTGGTGAAGTTCACCTATAATCCTGGCACTTCAGGTAAAGGCAGGAGGATCAGCAGTTCAAGGCCGGCCTGGGCTACATAGTGAGTTTGAGGTCAGGGTGGGCTACGTGAGACCCTGTTTCAAGGTCAGCAAGATGGCTCAAAGGGTAAAAGCATTTGCCCTGAGAGCCTGACAGCCAGAGTTTGATTCCCAGACCCCACAACAGAGGACAGAACAACTCCTGAAAGATGTCCTCTGACCTCTACACACGTCCTATGTAACGTATGCACACACAATGGGTAGAGTGAGCACCTTCAAAATAGATGTCACTCTGGAGATTTTTATGACACTCAGATCAACAGAAAAGTATTTCTTAACAAGGCAAAGGAGACTTGAAAGAGACAAAAGGAACATTCGAGAGACAATGTGACCCTCTGAGGATTTCACTCTCTGCTGGAGGTAGGCCAGGGTAATTTTAATTTTAAAACACAGATTTTATATGCTAAGTTGTGTTACTGCACATTGGTTTTTAAAACATTCATATAACCAGTCTAGCTAGACAGAGACTAGTTAAGACATGAATTCAATTGGGCTTAAACATCAATACCATTCTCTTGGGTAGCTTAAAAAAGAGGGAAAATGAATGATTACCTTGCCAGTTCCAGGAGGCCCTGCCAACAAGACAGCTCTTCCAGCCATTTTCTTGCTTTTGATTAATTCTACTATGACGCCACATGCCTGCACACAATGGAAAGAAACAATCAGTCAATATTAAAATGCCGCCTGGTGGAAACAATTCAGTGCTCAGTCCACAGCTCACATACTCTTTCAACACTGAGTGTCAGCAGCTGCCACAACACTGCTGTGGAGTGCAGTGGAGCAGTGGAGCAGTGGAGCAGTGGAGCAGTGGAGCAGTGGAGGCAGCCGAGCCACGTGCTCCAGCTATGGAGAGAAAAGGGCGATGAGAATGCGTGGCTCTGGGGAGCTGAGGGTCTTTCTCCTAACACTGTAACATTTGAAGCCCTGGGCAGAAATCTACGTTACAGGTAAAAACTGAAAACTCAGAGTATCCACAGCAGAAGCTTGTCATGACTACAGGACAGCACGCTGTAGAGGCTAGAGTATGGCGAAGAGAATGGGAAATGGAGGTTGAAGCAGCAGGGATCAGCACAGACCTGGAACTTAAAGTGCAAAGGCAGCAGGGATGTGAATTCCAGGCCAGTTTGGCTACAGCAACACTATCTAAACAAAAAAGGCATGCTATGAATCCATCCAATAAAAGAACCGGAAAGGGTGGTGAGATGGATTGGGGGTGGGTGGGTGTAAAAAGCACTTGTAGTGCAAGCCTGAAGAGTTGAGTTCAATCCCTGGATCCATCCCACCGTGGAAGGAGAGAACCTCTGGCCTTCACCAGAGCACTGCAGCAGTCATATGACCACACCGCACCCACAAGTTAACAAATGAAACGTAAAGAAATACCATCTAACATTAAAAGACTAGGAAGGGACTTTAGAAGATCACCTAGTCTTACTTTTCAAATGAAGATACTGAGTACCAGGGAAACTGCCGGTGTGTTCGATCATACAAGAATCCGGTACAGAGGCAGGTCTAGGGTAGACGGTGAAGTCACATACACTCTAGTTTATATGCTGGCTCTTTCACATGCCAGCTGAGTGCCCTTAGACTTATTTATTTGAATGCAAGTGTTCAAAATAACTTTTTGGGCACACAAGAAAGGGCTTAGGGGTAAAGTGTGCTGACATCTGCAGTTTGCTTTGAAATGTGACAAAGCATCACTGTAGGATGGTAACTGTAGAATTTAGGCACACTATTTTTTACTGTGCAAACATTTCAGCTTTTTGTATGCCTAGAAAGCATCATACCAAAGTGAGGGTTATTAGACAGAAATGAAATAAACAACGAGCTCAAATCATCTGATAAACTAAGCATTCAACTACCATGACCTGCTTTTAAGAAAAGGTGCAAGTGAGCCAGGTGGTGGTGGTGCGAGCCTTTAATCCCAGCACTGGGGAGGCAGAGGCTGGCGGATCCCTGTGAGTTCAAGGCCAGCCTGGTCTACAGAACAAGCTCCAAAGCTATAGAGAGAAACCCTGTCTCAAAAAAAAAAAAAAAAAAGTGCACGTGAATTAGGGTCAAATGCTTCCCTTCTGGAGAGATGGCACTCCAAGAGGAACCCAGAGTCTCCCCTGCCACCTTCTGTTTGCAAGAGGCTGAGAAAGCATCCTTCACCAAATTTAAAGATCAAGTTTTTGTAGCTACTGAGCCTCTGTAGAAACCAGAGTGGAGAGGGCTGAGGAAATGGGAAGAATAGTGATTTGGGGTGAAGAAGCGGGGGTGGGGGGTGAACACCAGCTTTATTACTGCTGAACTGACAGGTGGGAAGGTGGCCTGCCTTCTCCCACCTCCGATTTCTGCGTGTGAAAAACAGAAAAGATCAAAACACCTGGCATGACTGCCAAAGATTTTAGGTAGACTGAACTGGAATTAATAAATAATGCTTAGATGGGGAATAGGCCAGACTGCTCTTCCCCATCACTCTACTTCCCAGGTCAGCTCCCAGGCCCAAAGAAACTGCATCAACTCTGAAAACTTAGTCAATTCTATACCTAACCCCACAGCCTTCCACTGTGTTTCCGGTGAGACCTAACTTGCGTGCCCTGACCTGCAAAAAATGCAATCTCTGCTTGCTAATGTGATCCCCGCTTCTCCTACTGATCTTGGGAGATCAGGCTCCGGCTACACACGCCCCGCGCACAGGCCCCACGCCCACCTCTCTCGCGTTCTCCTGGCCCACGAGCCCTGAAGCCGCCTGCTTGGCCAGGCCGCTCTCGTCCAGCCCCAGCCCCTTCACGTGGCTGTGGGAGGCGATGCGCTGCGTCTTCGTGGTGCTCTTCACTTCCTCAATCTTCATTTTGACCAGCGTCTGGAGACACAACTGGCGTGAAGAGATAGGAACTGCGGCAAGCCCGGTGCCCGGGTTACCACGCGGCCGTTACTAGGCCGCTCTCTGGGACACGCCCTTATTAGCGCGCCATTGGTAGGAGAGAGAAGGCTTCGGTTTCTATTGGCTACAAGTTACGCCCGTCGCTGGCTGCGGGTGAGTTCCGCCCACCAACTTCCGTTTGTGTCACAGGTTGGATTCCCCCTGGGCAGGCATTTCCTCCCCTGGCTATCTTCGATGGGGAACCGCTAAATACTTTAAAGCACTTTTAATGTCAGTGGCAGTTTTTTGTTTGCTTGTATTTATAAAAGCCTCTTTTAATGTTTATTTTTTTCTTTAGACTAAAATGTCTGTGCCAGGGTGACTCGCTGACAATTCCCGGGCGTCTGGCTGCCCTGAGAGAACTTGAAGCAAAGCCGCTGCCCAAACTTCCCCCAAGCCAACCGGAGTAGACACCCCAAGGATGCCCCGAGGAAGCTGATCAGCCATCCGCTTTCAGTTTTGCCAGAATAAAATAGATCCAGAAAGCACTATTCCAGCCAGGGCTTTTTCAAACAATTTATGCCATTATTTTGGTCATCACATACCTAATGAACTCTTTTTTTTTAAAAGATGGTTTTAATGTAGGCTTGGTTGGCCTAGAGCTCAGAGACCCACCTGCCTCTGCCTCCTGAGTGCTAGGATTAAAGGTGTTACCACCATGCTCTTATCAGCCATTTTCACCAGACTGGAGTGGGTACAGTTCTCCAGGTAGTCCAGGAAAAAAAAAAAAAAAAAAGCCTATGATTGGTGAAAAGATGGTCCTTCATTTGAATTAGCAACCGTTATTGGTGCAAATACGGTAGTTCGGTTTCATGAACCACTGTGCCATAGCGTACATTTAATCTTTCATTTGCATGAAGGGCTGTCCTAAGGGCAGCAAACACTCTTGTTTCTCCTCCTCTACAGCATTCTGGCTATCAAAGCAGGTGTCCCTCACTTTTCAAGTTGCATAGGAGACGCCTTCCTGTGCTGCAATGTGCAATATATTGCAAAAATAGACCCACTATAAGACTTCTCTTGCCGGGGTGGTGGTGGTGGTGCACACCTTTAATCCCAGCACTTGGGAGGCAGAGGCCGGCGGATCTCTGTGAGTTTGAGGCCAACCTGGTCTACAGAGCGAGATCCAGGACAGGCTCCAAATCCAAAAAGCTACCCAGAGAACCCCTGTCTTGAATCAAACAAACAAGACTTCTCTTGAGTGGTCTTTCCACCTCTGTTAATAGTATTGTGGGCTGAGCTGGTAATATGAAGAAGATGAGACAAGGGGCTGTGGTGGTGAAGACGGTGATGAAAAGGCAGCTGGAGAGTTCCAGAATAACGGAGCAGAAATGACAAGTGACAGGCATCAGAGAAACCAAAGGCAGAGGTTGCTAGGCAAGTTCTTGGGAGCTCCAAGTCTTTTTTATTATTTTATGTGTGGGAGTGTTCTCTCTGCATGTGTGAATGTACATCACACACATTCAGTGCCTGAGGAGGTCAGAAGAAGGCGTCAAATCCCATGGAACTGAAGGTACAGATGGTTGTGAGCCACCATATGAGTGCTGGGAATTGAACTCAGGTCCTCTGGAAGAGCAGCCTTTGGTGCTCTTCACTGCTGACCCATCTCTCCAGCCCAGGGAGCTTCAAGTCTTAAGGGTCAAACTTTATAACATCAGACACTGTAGGAGTTGAGGGTCCCAGCACTTGACCATTCAGAAGCTATAATACTAGCAGACATTGCTTGCTGCTAGAAGCTGTGTAGAACAATAGTTGCTATGTACAGAGGCCACGGGTAGTTAAAGCCAAGAGCAATAAGCTGCCAACCTGAGCACCTGAAGCTCTTAACCTGAAGTTAAGAGTTACTTGGGAAGAGGGAAACTCAATTGAGAAGTTGCCTTGTAGTGATATATTGTGCAGTCCAATAAAACTTATCTGGGGATCAGAGGACAGAGTCAGCCACTAGATTAGACACAGAGGGCAGACAGTGATGGCACCTGAAGCTACAAGCCTCTGGCTTCTAAAGCCTGGAACAACACGGCCCTGGCTCTCAGAGCTGAAGCTGCAACCTCTGGCTTGGCCAGTCCAGCCCCTGGGCCATGGCACTCAAGAGTTCGGGACTGCCAGCACAGAAGAACTTCTCACCTCCCCAGGATTTCTATCTGAGCAGAGTAGAAGAACGACTCAGTCATCTTACTGGTTATGTCAGGGTCACTTCCCAGCACCAGAAAACAAAAAAACTGTAGGCTAAAGAAATTCATCGAGCGGCCCAAGAACACACAACAAATAAGCAGCCCTGGAACTCTGAGGGAAGACTTAAAGCTTGAAATCCTGTGTCATATTTAGCCCATCCCACAGCTCAGGTGAGACAATAAGCCAGAGAATATGTCCTCTCAGCTTCCATAGTGATCTTGTTTATCTTCATAATTGTACTTCCATCCATTCAACAAGTAATTGTTCGCACCTGTATAAATAGACACTATTGTGCACTCAGATACAGGCAGGAAATGGCCTTGATGAGCCTACAATGAGTTGGAAAACATGCAACAAATGTGCGGGGACAAATTCCCTAGTCTAGTGGCATGCCAACCCAAGGTGGGCACCTGGAGTAGCCTGCAGAGCCCAGAAAGGTGTCGGTAAGGTGATGGTGCCTGTGTGAAATCCTGACTGACAGCTGTAACTCCCTCAGAAGTAAATGATACAGCAGCATCTTACAGATGAGTAAACTGAGGAAGGCAAGCCTTGACCAGAGTGTAGGGAGGCCAGAGAGATGGCTCAAGAGTTAAGAGCACTGGCTACTCTTGCAGAGTACCCAGGTTCAGTTCCCAACGCTCATAGCTGCCTGTAATTCCAGCTCCAGGGATCCAACACTGTCCTGGATAGTTCATTGTCAACTTGACACAAGTTAAGAGTTACTTGGGAAGAGGGAACCTCAATTGAGAAGTTGCCTTGTAGTGATATATTGTGCACTCCAATAAAACTTATCTGGGGATCAGAGGACAGAGTCAGCCACTACATTAGACACAGAGGCCAGACAGTGATGGCACACACCCTTAATCCTAGCACTCGGGAGGCAGAGACCCATCTGGATCTCTGTGAATTCAAGGCCACACTGGGAACAGAGCCAGATGTGGTGGCACACACCTTTAATCCCAACACTTGAGATCTCATGCCTTTGCTAACAAGTATTTGGGAATCACACGCGTTTAATCCCAGCACTAGGAAGGAAGGAAGATGGCAGGGCACAGAAAGGTATATAAGGTGTGAGTAAACAGGAAGTCTTGCTCTTTAGACTGAGGATTTTGTAGAAGTAAGAACTACTTGCTGGCTTGTTCTGCTTCTCTGATCTTTCAGCTTTCACCCCAATATCTGGCTCTGGGTTTTCTATTAATAAGACCTTTTAAGATTCGTGTTACATTGCCTCTGTAAGACTTGCCTGTAAGTAAGTCTGTAGTGCATTTTCTTAATTGATGGTTGACATGGGAGGGCCCAGCCTATTGTGCTACCCCTTTGGCAAGTGATCCTGGAATATGTATGAAAGCAGGCCAGGCAAGCCTTCAAGAGCAAGCCAGTAAGCAGCTTCCTCTATGGCCTCTGCTTCAGTTCCTGCCTCCAAGGTTTTTTCCTGCTTGAGTTCCTGCTCTGACTTCCTTCAATGATGGACTGTGATGTGAAACTATAAGCTGAAATAAGTCTTTTCTCCCCAAGTTGCTTTTATCATAGTGGTTTTTTTTTTTTATCACAATAGAAACCCTAACTAGGACAAACACCCTCTTTTGAGCTCTTTGAGCTTTTCAGGTGCCAGAAAAAAATGTGGTACATATGTATACATGTTGGCAAAATACTCATACACATACAATTAAATAAATCTAAAAGAAAAAATTAATTGCATGTGTATCTGTGTTTGTCTGAATGTGCACTAAGTGTGTGCAGGTACCCTAGATGCCAGAAGAGGGCACTGGAACCTCTGGACTGGTGTGGGCAGTGTTAACTAAACCTACAGCTTCTACAAGAACTGCAAATGCTCTTAGCCACTGAACTATATCTCCAGCCCAGGTCTTGGTAAATTTTCAAATAATGAAATCAGGCATAAAATTTCCCTGATGACAATGGACTGAAACTTGAAATAAAAAATTGAATAAATGGAAAATTCACTAAGATGTAGAAATATTAAGACATTTTTTCTTTTTTCTTTGCATTTTGAGATGGGGATTTCTGCTAGCCTTTGCCTTTGCAGCAGAGGCTTTTCCTCACACCCCTGGTCTTTGCACCTTGCTTCCCAAGTGCTGGAATCACAGATGTGCACCACCATACCGGCAACAATGTATTCCTAGACAATTAACATGGCAAAGAGCAGATCACAGGGGATTAAGAAAGCACCCCAAAGCTAGGCACAGGGGTGTGCACCTAAGATCCCAGCACTTGGGAAGTGGAAACAGGAAGACCAAAAATTCAAGGCCAGACTGTGCTGCACAGCAGGAAGAAGAAGATGATGAATTCTGACTTCTGTTACAGTATGAATGGACCTTGAAGCCTGCTAAGTAAGACAAGCTGAGGAATGGAGGGTTGGCTCAGTGGCAAAGTACTTGCCTAGCATGCATGAGGCCTTGAGTTCAATCCTCAAGTACTGCAAAAAACACCACACACACACACACACACACACACACACACACACACACACACACCCCCCTCATAAAACAAGAGGCAAATCACTACCACCATGTATTGACAGTGGATTTTTTCTAGTTTTGGTTTTTATTTTTAGTTGTTTGTTTGTGTGTGTGCCACGTGAATGCGGGTGCTTGTGGAAGCCAGAGGAAGAGTTGAACCCACTAGGGCTGGATGATGTAGTGGGCTCAGCTCCACCAGAAGAGCAGCAGTAGGCACTCTTAACAGCTGAGCTATCTCTCCCATCTGACAATGGATTTTTAAATATGCACAAAAGCACAGTCAACAAATGAGAGGATTAAGATGTTAGACTGTGTTAAATTAAAGACTGTGCATCGAAGAACAATATGAAATCACTGAAATGACAATGGGGTGGCTGAAGTGGGGAGATGGCTAGGCAGTTAAGAGCACTTGCTGCTCTTGCAGAGGACTCAGGTTCAATTCTCAGTATCCACATAGTGGTTCACAGCTGTCTTTAACTATAGTTCCAGGGGAACCCCACACTCTCTTCTGGTTTCCTCAGGCACTATGCACACTTGGGGTACACAGACACACATGTAGACAAAACTTTACTCATACACATAAAACAACAATCTTTAAAACATGTGAAGGACTTGGTATTTCTCCAAAAAGACACATAATCAGCAGGAGGAGAGGCTCCACACGTTATCACTGGCTCAGGGAAACTCAGAACCGCAGTGAGACACTTCCCCACACTCAGATGGCTAGAATTAACAAAAGGGAAAATAACAATTGTGCAAAGATGTGGAGAGATTGAAACCCTCGTTTGACACAGCTGGGAATGTATACTAGAGCTGTGAAAATCAGTTTTTCCAAAAGTTAAAAATAGATGGACAGAAATCTAGGAAGTCGGCTTCTACTTTTAATGTATTTTTATTGCATTGGTTGAACGTGCGTGCATGGTCATCAGAGGATGACTTTTGGGAGTCAGGCCTCTGCTTCCACCATGTGGGCTCCAGGGATTAAACTCAGGTTGTCAGGCATGGTGGCTGGTGCCTTTACCCAGTGCAGTCTTGCCAGCCCAGTTTTTGTGGGTTTTTTTTGTTTGTTTGTTTTTGTTGTTGTTGTTGTTGTTGTTTTGTATTGTTTGTTTGAGTCAGTCTCATACCGTAGCCCAGGCTGGTCTGGAACTTCACTGTGTAGTCTTAACTGGCTTCCAGCTTTAGTCACTTGAGAGCTGGGATTGCAGGGGGGTGTCAACCAAACCCAGGTTTTCAGGCTCCCTAGCCCCTTGTATTTTTGTTTGTTTGTTTGTTTGTTTCTCTTTGGAGACAGTCTCACTATGCAGCCCTGGCTGACCTGGAACACACAGAGATCTGTCAGACTCTGCCTCTGGAATTCTGGGATTGAAGGTCTGAGGTATCACACTCAGGCTATCATCATATTTGATGAGGCTGCTTGTATCCTAGTATATCCTTACCGAGGAACAGTTGTATCAGAGTCCAGGCTGGGCCATGGACTAGAGCTAAAGCCTGGCTTCCCAGAGACCTTGAAGAAAGGAGGAAAGGAGCCTCCTAGGCCAGCCAAGGACTGGATGCTGTCCCTTACAGACTGAGTGGGCTCGGGAACACTGTCCTATCTATTCCACAGGAAGATATAATGGGAGCTAGTAGCACGGTCTGAACTGGTGTGGACCAGCTTTTGCCATAGCATTTGATCTCTTGTCCTGGGACTCAAGGTGGTACTAGCAGATTATGTCCAGGACTTGGCATATCAGCTAGCTAACCTGGGGCTTGGGTGATTACCTCCCCTGGGGTTAGTATGGGACACACTGAGGCAAACACATGGTTAATACAATCAAGGCAGCAGAGACCCTCAGAGAAAAAGCACATTTCCATTTCATTCCTAAAAAGAATCTTTAAAGCCCAAACTCAAATCAAAGAGCACAGTATAATAACTTCCTGTGGGCAAATTTATAATTAATCCTGGATTAATTGGCCTTAATGAAGTTGAATTAATTACTGGCTGTTTGTAAAGAACTTTGAACTACCTGAGTACAAAACAGCATTAAAAAGGCAGAAAGGAGCCGGCATCACATTAATATGAAGAATGAATCCGAGTAATCGCAGCTCTGCAGGCTGGTTCCCGCCAGTGATTTTCTCAGGACTGCACTCAGCCTGTGCCACAGTCCCAGGTCTAAGGAGGCTGCTGCAGAGGCGGCTGCCTTTCCAGCTGGAGTGTCAAGAGTGCATCCACACGAGCCACAGCTACAGTCTATCTGACCATGCCGGGCCCAGAAGTGTTTTCAGGGGAGCCTGGACTGCCCCTCCCCCACAGTGAGTGGGGAGAACACATAATGGATGATGAATGCAGTAAAAGAAAAAACTCCAAAGTATGTTAAGAGGCTAGGGCAAATATAGCTCACTGGTAGAGCAATAAGGCCCTGGGTTTGATCCTTGGCACCTCAAAAAAAATAAATAATCATGTTAAAGGACGATACATGCAAAAGACAGACTAGAGAAAGGGAGAGGGGCAGAGGGGACAGGCGTATTTGAGGTATGCTGTCCAGGGCACCACTCACTGAAGGAGTGGCAGTTGAACTTGAAGGAGGTGAGGAGAACCGTGAGGAATTCTGGGAAAACGTTCCAGGATGAATTGGCCTCATAGGTCTGAGGAGTACTCCTGCCAGTAGAAAAGAGTGGGTAAGGCTGTGAGGAGCAGGGGCAGATGCCAAGGGGCTAGAATAGTGACTCCAGTAAATTAAGAAGCTGATACACACCTATTGGAAGGGCTAAAATTAAAACAAAGCCGAGCACTTCTCAATGATGCCCAATGGAAGTATCCTGCCAATCAACTGAAGCCACATAGGGCTGCTGGGAGTATAAAGCAGAACAGCCCCTTGGAAGACAACCCAGCAGGCTCATCATGTGTCTTAGTTATGGTCATCACTGCTGTGATGAAACACCATGACCAAAGCAACTTGGAAAGGAAAGGGTTTATTAGATTTACACTTCCACATCACTGTTCATTATTAAGGAAGTCAGGACAGGAACTCAAACAGGACAGGAAGCTGGAGGCAGAGGCCATGGAAGGGTGCTGTTTACTGGCTTGCTCCTCCTGGATTGTTCAGCCTGCTTTCTTGTAGAACCCAGGACCCCCAGTCCAGGAGTGGCACCACCGAGAACGGACTGGGTCCTCCGCCATCAATCACCAATGAAGGAAGTGCCCTACAGGCTGGCCTACAGCTGATCATAGGGAGGCATTTTCTCAATTGAGGCTCCCCCCTCTGATGACTCTAGCTTCTGTCCAGTTGACGTAAACTGTCCAGTACACCATATGACCCAGCAGTCCCTCTCCTCAGCATGTAACATAGTGAGACTTGCCAGGCTGTGGTTGTCTACTTCATGCTGCTATTTATAGGGTGCTCTGAGGAGGGGAAGCTTGGAGGGACAGGAAACGAGACACAGGGGCTGTCAGGAACTACAGGTGAGGGCAGGTTTGATCACAGCAATTTGTGGGAGGGTTATGGGCCCATTTTTGTGTCTTGATCGTGGTAACAGGTTCTGGATTTTCTGAGTGAATCAGATTGAATGGCTGAAGAGCAATGGCTTGGCGGTGGAGGTCCAGAGACGTTGCTGGATTACACATAGGAAACATTAATGGGATTGCTGGATGGATGCTGGGTACGAAGAGACACGTAAGGACTGGAAAGGTGGGGTTCTTACCAAATGCATGAGAAGGGGGGAAGCTGGTGGAGTGAGGTGGAGAGTGTGGTTAGGAGTCTCACTTTTGTTTGTTCTGAGACATCTCACCTTGCAGCCCTGGCTATTCTAGAAATCACTATGTTAGAGCAGGCTGGCCTCAAACACATGATCTTCCTGCCTCTGCCTCCAGAGTGCTTTGATTACGGGCATGTACTGCAGTGCCTGACAGGAATCAACTTTAGGTGTTGGGTGTCTGGGAGCAAGGTCTCATGTAGCTCACAAGGCTGATCTTGAACTTGCTTTGCAGCTTGAACTCTTGAACTTCCTTTCTCTCTCTCCAAAGTACAGGGCTTATAGGTATGTGTCAAGATATATGATTGGAATTTGATTCTTTCTTTCTTTCCTTTTTTAAAGATTTATTTATTATGTATACAGTGTTCTGTCTGCATGTATCCCTGCAAGCCAGAAGAGGGCACCAGATCTCATTACAGATGGTTGTGAGCCACCATGTGGTTGCTGGGAATTGAACTCAGGACCTTTGGAAGAACAAGCAGTGCTCTTAACCTCTGAGCCATCTCTCCAGCCCCCGGAATTTGATTCTTGACAAGTCTACTTGATTGTGACTACCACTGGACTGCAGAGACATCTGGGTGCCACCATGCCTGGTTTATGTGGTGCCAGGGTCCCATACATGCTAGGCAAATACTCTACCAACTGACCTATGTCTCTGCCCCTATAATTCTTTTAGGAAAAAGCATATAGGGTGGTATAATGAAGTCCTCCAGATCCATCATCCAACTCAACAATAATCAACCCACAG